CTCTTTCACCTATAACATGTTCTTCTTAGCAATTTAGGTAGCTTGAAATGTATGAGGTTTATGAATACCAGGTTTTCTTTCAGTCACTTAAACAGAATAATGCCCTCCATTAACAATATGAAGATTGTGGTGCTACTCAGGTAGATCAAATATGTTACTGCTGTAACAATGAAGAGTGTAAAAGGACCTGCCTTTATCTTGGACACTGACCTCAGATTGAGGCAAGCTCAAAGAATTAAACTTAGAGATGCAGAAAGAACTTTTATTTTTCCTCAAAATAGGGAAATTCAATTCTGTCTGTTTTTCCAATGAAGAACCGAGTCAGAGGATATGGACAAATATAACTTTTAACCTCTTTTAAAAGGGAGAGGAAGCTGCCGCTCTGGAGCATGCATCAGTTTTTACATGTAACATGTGCATGCCCCTGCTCCTGTAGCAATACAGGTTAGCTAACTTGCTGCAACTTAAACTGTGAATGAAACAAAGTTAAACAGGAGAAAGCACCCAAAACAGTTGCATCAGAACAGTTCCTATTGGTACAATTGTACTAGTGGAAATGGAAAAAAAGGATATGGGAATGGAAAAATGTTCCGCACGTTGCAACTCTACAAAATCCAGGTATCAAACCCCATCCCCAAAAAACACAAAAAACCCGTGGAAAAAAAGCAGCGTGGGGTGCGGTCCAGGAACATGTCCTGAGGCAAACAGATGCTTTGACATCTGGCCAGAGCATCTCCATGGTGCTCCTGCTGCCTCAGCATGCTGGGGCAAATAGGAGCAGGTCAAGGCTGCAGCATGACCCAGACCCAGACCCAGGCGCTGTACTTGGCAAATATGTATGTAGGGGTGTGTGGGGGGGTGCATGGGGGGCTGCCACATGCCTACCCCCACCCACCCCCCTACAGTGCACAGACTCTGGTGCTGGCAGCAGCAGCCAGCCGCTCAGCACAGCACAGCAGCCAGCCGCTCAGCACAGCACAACACTGCCTGACCCAGGGTCTGTACATGACAAACTGCCCTGACCCAAACTGCCCCACTAGTGTACAGATTTAGACAAGACCAGGACTGGTAGGATCCTGCCACCAGCCGCAGCTCTTGTCCAAAGCCATGCAGTATTGGGGCAAGCCAGGCCGGGTTGGGTCCGTTCAGCACATACAGACCTTGGGTGAGGCAGCACTACAACTCCGCAGGTTTGTGCCTGCAGCCAGGCCATGGTCCCAATGGCCCCACTGGCTGCTGCTGGCAGCACTACAGGGGGCAGGTGGCAGGCATGTGGTGTTCCCTTCCAAACAAGACACCCATTCCCCCTATCCCCACACCCCCCACACACCCCCACAGACCCCACCACCCCTTCCCACCCCTCTGCAAACCACCCCCCCACACACATCTCACACCCTGTGTGCCCAGCTGCCAGAAAGGATGGGACTTACTGGCAGGAGCTGTGGCTGCAGGGGCAGCTGTCCCCACATCCTGATTAGCAAAGGAGTCAGAGGAGCTCTGATTTTTGTTTGATAAAAAACCAAGAGCAAACACCAAAGCATATAGATATTTAGAATTTATTTTATTATGATGATAGAGGCACTGGTAGGCTTCCTACTTGTTTTAAAATGGTAAATATATCAATAAAACACTGCTCACCTGATCTCTCTCTCTCTCTTTCTAGTGGTGTTTCATTTTAATCTTGGAAGAATATAGCTTTTTAGGTATTTTAAAGAGTGAATTTGGGATTTATTATCAGATAATTTGCAATTTTTAACCAGGGAACAGCAGGATCTCTGCTACTGAGGCAAGTGGCAGGGCTCAGGCAGAGGAGCCTGCTCAGGGCTGGCACTGGGGACCCAGCTAGAGGGCAAATGAGGTGGATGACCTCCTGGCCATTTGGGGCCAAGAGGACATGCTTTGACCGTTCAAAATGGGCCACCACAATGAGTACATCTTCCAGGCAATAGCTGCCTAGATGGCAGGGTGGGGGCACACATGGCAGCAGTGCTGCACAAAGGCCAACCGTGCAGCCACAGCCCAATGGCAGCTGGCTCTACTGCAGGGCCCATGCCACAGCCCAGACAGCCATGCAGTCCCCACCCAGGTCTGAAAGGCATGCAGACATGGGGCTGCAGGTCCAAGGGGGCAGATGCTGTTGTAGGTGGCAGCAGGTCACAGCCAGGCAGCAGCCCCCACTGCCAGACTGCTGCAGTTGGTAGGGGCTGCAGGGACCACTCTAAGCAGGGCTGCCTGCAGCAGTCCAGCTGGCACAGGGGGCTAGTGTCCCCATATGTCAATTGGTCGGGCCTTAACAGTTCCTAAGAGCAAGTAGTCCTGAGCTGCTTGCCAGGGCAGCTTTTTATACTACTGAGGTGCTGGACCCAGCCTTCGGCTACCCCTGACTGCAGATCTGGTAGGTGCTAGGCAGGATCAGCTTGCCTCAAGCGGCACAACTTGCCCCACACCAAAGTGCATGTTCAAGCACATGTGCCGAGGCACAAATCCCCAGCACAAATTTGTGCTGCTCCTATTTGAGCTGCTGCAAGTGCACATGCCTGCATGTGTGGACACATGCAGGGAGGTTATAAGTGCCTCAACTCGGGGAGAAAGTTTGTGGTAGAGCAAAGTCTTGAATTCATGTCTCCCCAGGCCTAGCCTAGCACTCTCACTCAGTAGGGGCCAACCATTTTGGTAGGTATGCCACAAGGTAAGCCCCATGCCCTTCCTAAGTGCCACTCTAATCCCCTTCTGCTGCTCTGCTTTCTGCTTCCTTCCCTACCTGCTATTGTGTTCCCTACTCCATGACACTTCTGGCACACTTGCCATAGGGCGGCCATCCCTGCTCTAACTAATGGACTATTCTTCCTCTCTAGACCCTGAGAAACAGAGGATTGCTTCCTTCCTCAGAGCTTCTTACAGAAAAAAGCTGACCTTTCTGGACCCTGTCTGGCTAACCTACTGGAAATAAGAAAATAAATTTCATACAGTCATCCAACCAGCTTCATTTTTAAAAGGGCAAAAAAACCAGAGGAACTGCTAACAAGCTACATCAATATATTTTAAAATAAGCGATCTGAAGAGTCATTCTCCTTTTATTTACTATCCATTCTATGAGATCCAAAATTCTCTTCCCTCCCCACACTGTGGTCATTAACATCGCGAACTGCTAAATCAGGATGTGGAATACAATACAATTTTCTCCATCATTTGACATTTAGCAATGTTTGCAAAGTCAATCAATTATTAAAGGTATCCCCAATTTCAGATATTTACAGTGAAGCAGTCTTTTCTTTCAGCTCACTTTTAAAGAGCATAATGTTTAAACAAACAGAACAAAAACAAATAACTCCTGCGTCTCATAGTACAGAAAAATATCATTTCATTATTGTTCAGAACTCAACTTTGGAGCAGAAAACCTATTACTGTTCCAACACTATTCTATTGTTAAAACAATATTTAGACTAAAAATAAAGAAATGCCCGTCAGATTCCTTTCAAACAGTTTTTATTTAACCCTGGAGTAGAATTTACTTTGAACTGTCAGCAGCACATATCAAAAATTTACAATCAGCTGAATCAAACTGCTTTACTGCAGAATAACAGTACCATATTGGTGCCCAGTAGCAAAGCTATAATTAAGGATCTGTCAGCATTTCCATTATAAATACCATTTGCAGGAGGTTTGCAATTCAGTCGTAAACAGTGTTACAAGGCTAGAACTTCACATACAAGGTCTCATCTCAGCTGCAATTTACTCTTTAAAATGACGCTTTTAAATTACAGAAGTGTACAAAAAAAGCCTTCAAAACCAGACGCCTTATTCTGTAATGATACCACCTAGAAACATGATTTGAGGGGAAAAATTGAATCTATTTAGTCCTAATGTACTTTTGGTGTTTTTGATTTTCTATATATACACACACATGGTAACTATTCTAGTATTAGATTTAATATTTACTTGACAGTAAAATACTAATCACTATTCCCATTGAAAAAGCTATTAAGACGCACACGCGCATGCACACACACATTATACACTGATCCTGCAATTACAGGCAATCTGTAAAGAAGAAAAAACATGCCCTTTCTTAGTTTTTCTTTATGTATGAATGTGGCCTGAAATTTTCTGGGGGACCATTAAAAAAAAAAAATCTATGTATTTATGCCATTAAAAATTCAGTCTGTCATTCCTATTTCCCCCTGGTAGACATCATGGAATCCATTATATGGAATCTCCTTCACTGGAAATTTTCAAGAACAGTCTGAACAGGAATCTGGTTAGGATGTTTTAGAAATATTAGATCCTGCATCTGAGGAATGGATTGAATGAGATAACTCTTGAGATTCCTTGCAATCTTATGACTGGGTGGATACCTAGAAAATTTAGGATGCTGCAGATACATAAGAAAGATAAACTGATAACACAGGCAGTTTCTATTCAGACTTCTTTTTTCCATTTGAGTTAAGCAGCTGTTAAAAGAATATTTCTGTCAGAGCTGGAAGTAGAGTTTGGGAGGCTTTTATAATTATAAGGTTCATCCTTGTCTTCACTATCTTAGTTCACCTGTCTGGAGCTTCTAAAGGCTTGTCTAAAATGGTGCTTACCTTGAGAATTAATTGATTGGTAGTTCAGCAAGATTCACTTAGACACTCCTCAAACAATTTCTTAGCTTCCTCTACCTACTCGACAGTCAATTATGTAAGAACTCTACTTCAGACAAGTGTTAAGCCTGAAACTAGCATCTAATCTACACTACAATATTTTACCAGTACAACTCTGAACGAATGTATACACAAAGCTCATCTGTGGCAGCAGTCCCCCACCAGCAGTTACAGCACCTCTTCCAAGTGACAAGTTTCTGTCCCTATCTGGAGGGTGGCATATTGACACTTCGCAAGGTTCACTTCATACTCTGCCAGCACAGTAGCCACAGGGGAACTGCGGAGAGCCTTCACAGTGCATGGATGTCATGTGTACATGTTCCAGCAGCTCAGTGGCAGCAGCTGTTGCTTGCCACCAGATCTTCTGCCAGCAGAACCAGCCAAGGGCAGAGAAGGCCCAAGAGTGCTTTTACCAGTATAGAAATGCCAGCCGAGCACATCTAGATGCTTTGAAGGGAAAGAAACATCTAGCTACAAAGCTTCACTTTACACCTAGGTAGAGAAAAACTAGGCTCCATGAGTGGAACAAGCAAAATGAACACTGGTAAAAGAGTGACTTTTACTTGTATCTGCCTGCACAGTAGTGGCTGTGGCAGGCACAGCTCTGTCAGAGATGAAACTACTTCACACCTCTGACGCTGCTACACCAGCACAATATCAACATAGCTCTAAAAGGAAACCAAAAGCAAGGGACAAGTTGTGTATGCAAGTCTTGATGTTGATATTTCTAAGGTCTTGCCCACACTGTACAAAATTTTGCTACACTGGCAAACCCTTCAAGCAGATTCAGTTTATACCATCAAAAGCGTTTCCCTGGCAGTATATAGTTATACCAGTTTCCTAAATGCAGTAAGTTACACTGACAAAAGGTTATGGACCGTTCAAGCTGCAGCTCCACCAGGACTTCTGCCAGCATATCCATGTCAATAGGGGGTGAGATTCTACACATGACATACAAGACAACTAAGCTAGGAAAAAGCTACTCTCTCCTTCATGTTTAAAATCTCCACAGCTTTCAAGCCTCCTTTATATCTCATTTAAAAAACAAAAACATAGCAATTAAATTTTTTAAAGGAAATATACAAAATGCACCATATTCATAACAGCAAAATTATTAATATGAGCCAATATCAACCTGTAGCTATTCTGCCATACATAAAATTCCACTTGTCGCTATTGGCAAAATGAGTGCAAAGGATCCTTCCCACCTCGCTGAGGTACAGCAATGAGATTCTACCCCTCCTCTAAGTAATATTATATTAGTTAAAAGTTAGCCCTGTGATGAAGCAAACAAAAAAAGCAATACTTGTACGTCATAGATCACAGCCATGTTTATTCACACATTTAATTAGACAAGCAAACAGGTTTTTTAAACACAATATTAAAAAATAATAGGACTTCAATAAATTACTTGCCTTCTTCTAGAAAAGGAGGAAACTGATGTAGCTGTGAGGTCTGGTTCCCATTCATCAGCAGGATCATAAAATATATCATCAGCCTTGCTACTACCATTACTCTAGGAGTGGGGGAGAAAAAAACTCTTTTACTCATGTTATAAGGAAGAATTGAGTAATAATGACATGTGTAAGTTATTAGTAAGGATTCTATTTTTAAAATGCTCCAAAACTCAAGTCATGTCCTTTTCAAATTCCAAGTTGACTACTGAGCTAACTGAGGATACTTGGTTTTGAAACAATAAGCATCTCAATATTTTGTTTATTTCTTAACCCTTTTTTTTTTTTTACCCATTTTTGCTAAACTTTATGCAATGTTGAAGAAATGGGTAAGAAAAAAGCTAAGCTTTATGCAATATAGATATTGGGGAGGGAAAATGAATATATATAAATCTGAAGCATTTCTCACTGAAAAACAGTATAAACCATTTACTTTAGGGGTTTTTGTGACCCATTTGACAACTGTCCGCAGTGCAGGAATAGTCCAAAATTCACTTTCACCTCAGAATGTATACTAATAAATGTGATAAGTAGTAATCCTATAACTTCAATTCATATTTTCTATGTACCAAAGAAATCTCATAAAATTAGCACTGGAAAGCTGAAAAAGAGAAGAACTGTTGAGCCTTTTTACAATCACAGTTTTCTTGAGAAAAGGTGGCATGTGTCTTACTAAACAAGTGCATTGCCCAAGGAAGAACTGAGTAAAAACTAAATACAGGCTTCAGGATTTTCTACACTCTACATAAAAATCACTTATACAGCATTTTCTTGCTTAAAATCTGACAACTTATAGATGCTTCTGCTGTTTCCTAGTACAGGAATCAATAAACAATTTTAGTTCAAGATGGGAAGCTAAACTTTTATGATTAATGAAGATTTTCTTCAAGTGTTACAAACCTCATAGAGTTCTTTCATTGCTGCTAGTTTATACTCAAACTTCTCCAAGCTCCAGAAAGTTGCAATTCCCAGCTTCAGGTTACGAACCTGCACTTGAACAGAAGGCCCAGTGGCACTTTCTTTGTCTGTTCCATCATGTCTAAAATTAAAATGAAATCTTGAACCTTAATGACCAGGATTAAAAGGTTTTTAAAGGATCATTCTTAAGTAAACAGTTTGCCCCACTGTAATAGAAATAGTATTTTTGAAAGAACTGATCTTATTAAACAACACCTGGTGCCAAGGAGTCAATAAAAATAATGTTGGTTCTGGTTTTGTAAAGGAAAAAAAGCCTAAAAGGAAAATATCTTTGTATTATAGTCAGTACCAAGGGGGAAATTCTAAGATGACAAGTACAATCCTGGCTCTTGATAAACCATAGAAGAAATCTGTAATGTTGACTTCTCTGATTGATGTAAAGAGGGTAACATAGCTGTGCCAGCATAACTTCTAGTGTAGATGTAGTTATACTAGCAAAACTAAACTTCTACTGATTATGATTAGTTTCATTCCAGTGGAAATAGTGGTACTATTGCTATACTGGTACAAAGGCTGCTTCACCTAGTCGTATTTATACAAAGAGAACTCTGCCAATCTGGTATACCAGCATAGGTATGCTGACTCCTAGATTGATTTTGTCTTAGATGTAAAATTACCTTTTTACATCTGTATTTGATAATAAATCAGTTTACTCAAAATAGATTACAAGTTTAAAGAGGATAAAATCAGTTATAATTTTAGTTCAAGATAGGAAGTTAATTTAGGGGAAAAGTTTGAGTTAACAGCATTAAGCAATTCCCTGCCTCACCTCCTCCACCCCACAAAAGATCAACTCACTATAGACAAAGTTTTATGGTTTAGTTTTTGAAAAATGCCCTACATTAGACTACATATTAATTGGATAACTCCAATACTCACATACTCACCTGCAAAAAACTGTGTGTGTTCCTAATTTGCTACCAATTGTATTAGCTTCCTGAATCATCACAGAGAGTTTCAAGGAATTCCAGTTTGGCTGAACTAAATACAAAATGCATCATTCACATAATCAAAGATAGCAAAGCAAAATTAAAAAAAAAAACCACTGAAAAAAGGAGACCTCTAAAATAATTTAGTAGACAATATACCCTGGATTTACGATATCCTGATAAAATGAAAAGACAGTTAACACTTTCACAGACTATTTCAAAACTGAGACACCAGTTAAAAGCATGTCAAATATTTATGCTGGACTGATTAGATACGAATACATTTTAATCTTCTCTGTTGGTCTTCAGTCTCCCAAGTGCTACTTTCTGTTATTTCTAGTAAAGTTTATCCTGTGAGATAATGGAAAAATCTCTGATGAAGAGCAGTAGGTACATAAACTTAGTGGTTCACTGAGCCCTACTAAATGTGATCATAACGGTACTCATAGCCCTGCCTCAGGCACATGTCTCAAATCACATCCCAGCTAATAAAGATCTTGCAATTTCAGTACTAATGGGACTAATATTCAGTACTAATGTTGGAAAACAATAATCTACTAGGATCCAAAAATCACCAAAAATGTAGCAACCAAGGAGATGGGCAGACAAGGTTCCTTGGGTGAATTTGATATCTTTTATTAGACCAACCCAAATAGTTGGAGAATAGTTATTAAGCAAGCTTTTGGGTTCAAAAACCCTTCGTCAGGCTAACGAAGCTTCAGCAGTTGGTGTGTGCTCTTCACTGCTGAAGCTTCCTTAGCCTGACGAAGGGTTTTTGAACCCAAAAGCTTGCTTAATAACTATTCTCCAACTATTTGGGTTGGTCTAATAAAAGATATCAAATTCACCCAAGGAACCTTGTCTGCCTACGTCCTTAGATCAACACGGCTACAACCTACACCCCTGCAGCCAAGGAGAGGTACTACACTGGTCTCACAACAATATGTAAATAACTCTTTCTGCCAGGAGGTATGTCATCTTCATCTGGCTGCTGGAAGACAAGACATATGCCCCACAACAGGATTGGATGATGAGGTGAAAGTACATTACTCCCCAAACATACTTGTTTTACTTTTATCCCCATTTCCACGATTATGCTGGAGAGTTTGTATTTCTTTGGAAAGTTTCTGCTTTTCAGCCTCCAAAGCTTCAAGAATCTTGGCATGGTGAATAGTATGATCTTCTAGAGCCTGAAAACGGAGCAGATCCATCCATTTTAACTTATTTTTAAAGTAAGCAGAGGATTAAATTCCCCTCCCCATTTTGGTTTGTTTGGTTGGCTGGTGTTTAGGTGTTCTGTGATCAATTTCATTCTGGTCTGATCTTTCTACTGCATATAGTAATGAAACCTTTCCTGTATAAGTTCCAACAATTTTTTACTGCATACACTGAAGTATCTCGTATTTAAACTGGTGACACAGACACCACTTGAAAAGCAGAGAAGGAGCAACTGTTTGGGAGCCTGCATTAGCTGTTACAATCAAACTGTTGCCTACGTGATCCTGTAGCAATATAAGTTGACTAAATTGTTCTAACTTTGACCCCAGATGAAACGGGGTAAAAGTTGCAGTGGTTCTGCTATATTTTTTTCATTACAGAATCATGCAGACATAACAGGTAGACTGTAACAGGTGATGTTGGTATTCTTTGAAATGTCTATAATTGTTGACTCTATTCACAGCCCAAGATAGCCGAAATGAAGAAAACATTCCCTCTTTCAATTAAGATGTTTAAATGGCTGTTTTTCATTGCACACGTTTAAAAATTAAAAACTTGCACTGCCTTCCTGGAAAATAATGAAGGTGTAACAAATACAAAAATTTAACCTAGAACGCGATGCAAAGGTGTTACGTTCTAATTATTCTATTTAGTAAGAATTCTTTACTTAGTCTCCTTTCACGCTTAACTTGTGAAACAATGTTGAAAGTAACCTTGCTCACTGAGATCTTTTTCTAAGCATGTAACATGAAAAAGTGCACCTGTCCTTGCACTTATGCAGGAAACTACCACTTCTGGTGAGTTTAACATTTCCTAAGTTAAGGACATTAACAAAGTGGTCATCACTACATAGAAAAGTGATTCTCCACCTTAAGTGCTGCAGCAGATGGGGTGGCCCCAAGATCTTTTTAAGGGTGTTGCAGGATGCCATTCAGTGTTTGCACTGTTAGGTGTGCAAATGTGATTCACAAAATAAACCCAAAGATTTTAAACAAGAATTCATAGTGTTAAAAACATTCTAACCTGCTGTGGTCTGAGTTCTTTACAAAAAAAACAAAAACTGTTCTATTATTTTTCCATAATCAAACAATAAATGAAAACTAAAAGCTGGCATTTTCCCAGGGGTGCCTTACATCTAAAAAGCTTGAGAACCATTGACATAGACTACAGATGACTTTATTACTGCTCATCTCCTAAATAGCAGCTGATTTAATAAGAGAACAGTTCCAGAGACTAAATAGGATATCAGTCTTCATAAGATCATTTGAAAAAAATATTTTTAAAAGAAGCAACAAAGTTATACAATTATTTAATGGTTTATTTAAAACCTGATTGATTGGGCAAAACGCATTTTAAAGATGACCTGTTTCGTGGCTAATGTTTCCATTTCCAGGCGCTTCTTGTTGAAACACATTTCTAACTCAAGATGATGTTTTGCTTTTTCCAGCTCCTGTATTCTGCTTGCAGCCTTCTGGTTATTCATTTCTTGTATTTGTTTCCTATGAGATTCATCTCTCTAGAAAAAACAAAAAGACAGAATGAAGGGTTCCTGGTAAACCTAAATTCCAACCTACCTAAATGCTAAATACATTTTAGCAGCTATTTCTTTTTCAATAGGTGGAGAGATAAGGCCACTAAAGATCATTCACAGTAATCCAGTCCTAACAACGAAGGGGAAAAGGGGTGGCTACAGCCTAGTCAAAAGCCTTGTATACTATAGAATTGTTAGCATGGTGATATAGCTGTGATGGTCCAAAAATTATGAGGGGCAAGGATTTTTTTGGCAGTATCTTTTATTGGACTATCTGTATAGTCAAGATAGTTAGACAAGCTTTCAGACGTTGCTTTCGAAAGTTTGTCTAACTTAAACCCCAACAATGCAGTTCGTCCAGTAAAAGATATCACCCAAAAAATCCTTGCCATATATCCTATAACACCCCCCCATTATGTTTATTACTTTGCCAGCCTACATTATCTATTGAAGCCAGAGTGTACAATGCTGTATAATACAGGGGTAATCGACTGCCAATCCTTGGGCTAGATGCAGCCTGCAGAGCCATGCCATTCAGCCTGCAGGAGTCCCCACAGATCTGAACATTTAGTGGTAGGGGAGCAATAGCAACAATTGTTGTTCCACTGCTGCCAAACTTCCAAACCTGTGGGAAGCCCTGCTAGATCAATGTGCGGAAGTGGCCCAGGGCCTGATCCATGCACATGGGGACCAGCTGGAGACAGCCTGGGGCTATAGGTGGTAGCACAGGCCTCCCATCTTGTGGTGGGTCAAGTAGAAGTGGCACAGGACCCAATCCTATCACACACTGCCTGATTCAGCCTGTGGAGGGATCCTGTACTACTCATCCAGCCCCCTGCACCAAAAGGAAGTACCACTAGGAAAATAGGATGCAATATATTCTTGCCTCAAGAAGCATGCAAATTAGCAATCCTGTAAGAACAATAAAAAAAATGAACGAGTACAGTATAGATTAAATGCTTTATGAAATGGAGATGAGTTTTTCTAAATGGTTTATCTACTCATACAACATTTGAGATAAAGAAAGATGCAAATAAAAATGGTTTGATTATTTCTGATTCACCCCCTATGCAAATGGAAGTATATTAAGTTATTTGGAAGAAAGAACTCTTATTCTAGAGTAATATTGTCCACATGCATAGCATACAGAGAGAATCTTATTTTGCAATTACTCCTTTTGTACATAAGGGACAGAGCCTGGTATTCATGAAGTGAGAGGCTACTCAAGCAGGACACCATAGAAAATTACGTGCTATATCTTTTCATTTGATTATGCAATAGCAGCTTACCAGTTCTGCTTCCAGTGATTTTATCTTGCTTTCATAAACTTTTTTTTGAGATAAGAGTTCTTGCTGAGCCATTTCTTTTGCAACTTGGATACCTTGAATCATTTCTTCCTTAGCTTTCAGTCGTGCCTCCTCAATTTCTGATTCAAGCCTAGAAGGGTCAAGGAATTTAAAAATGTAAATATTAACTTTTAACCTGCCTTTTACAGCTCTCTCAGAGAGATTATATTATTCCTTCTGTTAAGAATGTATTGCATATCCAAAACCCTTTGATCTTAATAGTGAATTTCCTGTTTATTTTAAAAGTATTGGTGTTCTGCGGAGATTCAATTTCTTAAGGCAAAACATACATGTGATGAAAAATAGGGTAATCATATCATATTTTAGTCTCAACTGATACATTTTAATCACATTTTACTCCAAGATTTGTTTTATTAAGAATCTTTCACAATTAATATCCACATGAGAGACCCACAAATCAACACTAGACTGGAAGAACTCAACATGTAGTCAAGGAAGACTGCAGAAATCAAGCATGTAGTCAAGGAAGACTGCAGAAATCAAACATGCCATGAAGGAGCTAGTGGAAGGGATATCACACCTGTGAGCCAGTAAAACACCTTATCACCAGCGATCCAGGTTTTCTGTTTGCTGTGAAAAAACATGGATCTTCTCCTTTAAACGCAGGGGACTGAGTTCTAGCATGCTTGGGGCTGGGGGGAAGGAAGGGGAGTGAAGTGGGATGCAGGGGGTAAGGGGTGCCACCTGCATGTGTGCAGGCAGCCAGGCAGGGTGTTGGAGAACAGCTCCCATAGCTCCCTCCAGGTAAGACTATGGTGGTGGGCAGAAGGGAGCACAGGCGACAAAGCGGAAGGGGAGGTGCCCCCATGCAGGGCTGCAGCCTAGTCAGACTAAGCTCCAGGCAAGTGGTCTCCCTGGCCCAGCAGGTGGGACCCAGTGCAGGAGGGAGTGCTACACTGCCATGGCTGCCAAGGTGAGGTGCCCCCTGCCCACTTGGCAGCAGTGGGGGCACAACTCCATGCCATTGTGCCTCACCTTGGAGGCCATGCCCCCCTTCCCCACACACCCACTCACCCCATTCCCTACAGATTCACCCCCTTCCTCACACACTGGGAGGCTGGGGCCTGGGGCAGCAGGTCAAGAGTAAGGAACACCAGCAGGGCCAGTGGGCTCTGGGTCAGGAGTAAGGGGCAACAGCATGGGGCACCAGGCACAGCACCAGCATATCAGGGCTGCTCAGTACCACAAAGCAGCAGGGGGGACAAGTTCAGCTGGACCCACATCCTGGTGAGTGAAAGGGGCAGGGGGAGCTCTGATTTTCCATGATAAAAACAAAAACAAATGCCAAAACATATAGGTATTTAGAATTTATTTTATTATAATGATTGAAGCACTGGTAGGCTTCCAAATTGCTTAAAAATTGTAAATATATCAATAAAACATTGTATGCAACTGATGCAGATAGATAGATAGATAGATAGATAGATAGATAGATAGATAGATAACCACACTAAATCATATGCAACAAGTTGCACTGATATACCCTTGTGGTAGAGTGGCTAAGATCAAATATAGCATTTTTGGCACCAAGGACAGGGTGTCAAGGTTGACTCTGGCCACCACAGTGCTGACCTAGTATTACAGTACCTCTTGACCCAGTGCCAGTTTGGAGGTGGCCGAATGGATGGGGCTCCTCTTTAACAGCATCAGATGTGCCTCCCTGCACATCAACTGCAGGAAGAACTCAGTTCTGTATTCCAGCCTTATCATCCAGGGCAAGCAGACACACCCTGGGCAGACATCTACCTGGGAACACCCACCAAACACTGGGCAAAGCAGACACAAGAGACCACCCGTAGAATCGTGCAGAACGTGCACAAGCTGAACTTGTCCCTACTGGCCCCCTGGCAGAAGACAGATGCAGTGAACACTTTCTACATCCCCCACATCACGTTCATCCTGAGGGAATTGGTGGTCCCCAAGACCCACCCCCCTCAAGAAGGTGGATCCCGAGATCCGACAGCTGCTTAAGAAGTGGCTGCACCTCCCACTGTGGGCCAGCAACAAAATCCTGCATGTCCCATTGGTAGGGAGGCACCAATGTGCCACATGGGAAACCTCTACGATACCACAATGGTCACCCACACCTTCCGCCTCCTGATCTGCCTGCCCTGAAGGAGAAACCCCCAAGAAGATTGCAAGGCAGTCCACCAGACATGACCTAGCCACCTTCCTGAGTGGCTTGCTGGAGGGCAAGTTCAGTGGAAACAGCAAGGTCTCTGCCTTCTTGTGAAGCCAAGCCCACAATGCCACGCGCAACCTTGGGAAGCACATTGACTAAGCCTAGACCTGGAACGAGGAATGCCAAAAGCTGGAAGTATTGCTGCTCTTGACCTCCAACACCAACTGCGTCATGACCCCACCACATTAAGACCTTCCTGGAACAGTTCTTGAAGGACACCATCCGAGCCAGGTATGCCAGCGACCTAAGGGCAAAGCCTAGCCAGGGCAAGGGCTTTGAACTCACCTCAAAGTGGGATGCTAGCAACCACTTCATACCCAATGGGAGCTTCACCTGGTTTGTAGACTGGCACTTCATCCACCATACCCGCCTCAACTGCTTGTCATTCAGCGGTGCTGCCTAGTACAGGAACCACAACAAGAGGTGCCGACACTGCAACTATGAGGCAGAGACCCTCCCCCATATACTGTGTGCCTGCAAGCCCCGTGCCAGAGTATGGCAGCTACACCACAATGCCATCCAGGACCAGCTGACCAAGGCCATCCCGGTCTCAGCAGGGACTATGTTCATCAACCACACCATCCCAGACTATAAGACCAGGTGTGCCCAGCCACTGTTGTAAAAAATGAGGACAGCAAGTGCATTTACGATGGTAGATGTCACCATTCTGTTCAAGAACTGGTGGCAAGCTTTCGTCAAGGTCCATGAGCAGAAGCAAGAAAAATACCAGTCACTGGCGGACACCCCAAGGAGCCAGGGATACAATACGACAGTCAAGGCACTGATCATCACAGCTCTCAGAGTATGGGACCCCAGCAATGAGTGTGTCCTGCATGCCTGCTGCATATCCCACCGGTACTCCAAGCCTCATGGTGTCCAACACCATCCACTGGTACAGGGACATCTACGTGAAGCACATCACGGGACAGTGCCACTATGTGGACCCCACCACATATGTGACAACCAGAAGCAACGTGGTGAAGACTGCTTGACCGCCCCCTGCCACTCCACTTAAACTCTAAGGATTTTGTCCATCCTGGACTCTTCCCAACCCCCACAACTGTATCCCACATCATATTATCTGTAACCAAATGTGTGCTTTTTGTAAACCACCTCCAAACCTGAATAATGCATCATTGTGCAGGTTCTCTGATATATTCCTGACTCTATAAGCATTGTGTTTCCCCCCACCCTTTTCTCCCTTCCTACTCGTCTCAGTTGGCTGCATGTTTTGATACATAATTTAGTTACATTCCCACCCCTACCCCTGCTATATAGCCCCTCGCCCCTCATATTACTTTCTGCCTTGACCTTTTTTAACTTGAACTTTAACATTTGTGGTACCAAGGGGAGGGTGTCAAGGTTGGCTTTGGCCCTCATGGTGCTGGCCTGGAATTGCAGTACCTCCACGCCTGGTGCCAGTTCCCGGAGAACACCCACTCATTTTTTTTGATACACACAAATAAAATAAAATAAAATAAAATGGCTTTCATCACTATATTTGCCCAATATTAGCCATGCGTTTTATAGGCATGCTCACTGTTGACTGTATTTAATCAGCTTCATGGATGGTTTCCATTACAGAGTTCATGCTGCTTTGGCAGCACTTTCATGATAGACAATGTATTTAATGAGGTTTCCCTTAGGGCTGTGCGAAATTTCGGCAGCCATTTCATTTCGGAGGTGTTTTGTGATATTTCAGCACCTGAAACACCAAATCCGAATCAAAATGAAAGAAACATCTCTGAAATGAAACAAGGCATCCAAAATGTTTCGGAAATGTTTCAGAAAATGTCAGCGTTTTGGAGCCGGGCTTGCAGCGAAACAGCTGTACGCTGCTGCCCTGCCATGCAACTGGGCTCCAGAGGGAGCAGAGATCCGTGCCAGGGGTTTCCTCACGGCCACTGCTCCAGCAATGCGGGGCTGCACGGGGTGGGCAGCAGCGGCAAGGAGACCCCAGCGTGGATCTCTGCTCTCTGTGGAGTCAGGTCGCATGGTAGGGCAGTGTTAGTCCCTGCAACATGACCTGGCTTTGCAAGGAGCAGAGATCTGGGGCTGCACAGGGTGGGCAGCGGCAGCGAGGAGACTCCAGCGCAGATCTCTGCTCCCTGCAGAGCCGAGTCACACAGCACAGATCAGCAGGTTTGCTCGCCGTTCTGCACTGCTTCCCTGCTCCACGACCCAGCGTGACAGGGATCAGAGATCCATACAGGGGTCTCCTTGCCTGCAGAGAGGGCAGCAGTCCTCCCCCTCTCCTAAATGAGCCACCCGCAGTCCCATCCTACTCCCTGCTGGGGTCCTGCAGCCCCCTGCCCCAAGCCCTGCATGGCTAGGTAGGGCAGCGTGACGCTTGCAGCCCATTCGAAACAAATTCAGAAGAGATTTGGCAGAGCCAAATCTCTGAAACAGATTCGGCCAAAATGAAACAGGACAGTGATCCGAAACACCAAAACGAACCACTGTCCTCTGCTGCTCCAGCAATGCGGGGCTGCACGGGGTGGGCAGCAGCGGCAAGGAGACCCCAGCGTGGATCTCTGCTCTCTGTGGAGTCAGGTCGCATGGTAGGGCAGTGTTAGTCCCTGCAACATGACCTGGCTTTGCAAGGAGCAGAGATCTGGGGCTGCACAGGGTGGGCAGCGGCAGCGAGGAGACTCCAGCGCAGATCTCTGCTCCCTGCAGAGCCGAGTCACACAGCACAGATCAGCAGGTTTGCTCGCCGTTCTGCACTGCTTCCCTGCTCCACGACCCAGCGTGACAGGGATCAGAGATCCATACAGGGGTCTCCTTGCCTGCAGAGAGGGCAGCAGTCCTCCCCCTCTCCTAAATGAGCCACCCGCAGTCCCATCCTACTCCCTGCTGGGGTCCTGCAGCCCCCTGCCCCAAGCCCTGCATGGCTAGGTAGGGCAGCGTGACGCTTGCAGCCCATTCGAAACAAATTCAGAAGAGATTTGGCAGAGCCAAATCTCTGAAACAGATTCGGCCAAAATGAAACAGGACAGTGATCCGAAACACCAAAACGAACCACTGTCCTCTGAAATGGCTGAATCCAAAACTGAATCAAAACATAGACATTTCGCACAGCCCTAGTTTTCTTGTATGCAATTGTAAGATAAGGGGCTTTTTTACGTTGATTAGAGAAAAAATAATTTTACTTTATATTCAAGTAAATACAGTATTAAAAATAATCTTCATTCAGCTTTATCCATGTTTTTGATGCATTTTTTGAAGGGGGAAAGCCCTATATCTATGAAAGATTCTGGATACCCAGTCTACATTCCACAAAGCCACCCTACAAAACACGGTATGCAGAAAGCCCACAGATCATCACACAAGTCCACAAAACCAGCAACGACCCTAGACACACCAAGGAAGCAAAGTCCTGCACTTAGGATGGAACAATTCCATGCACAAATACAGGCTGGGGACTGACTGGCTAAGCAGCAGCTCTGCAGAAAAGGACCTAGAAGTTACAATGGACTATAAGCTGAATATGAGCCAACAGCGTGCCCTTGTTATGAAGAAGACTAGCGGTATACTGGGCTGCAATAGTAGGCGCGCTGCCAGCAGATCGAGGGAAGTGATCCTTCCCTTCTATTTGGCACTGGTGAGGCCACATCTGGAGTACCATGTCCAGTTGTGGCACCACCCCCCCCCCCCCCTAGAGAAAGGATGTGGGCAGACTGGAGAGTCTAGCAGAGGGCAAGGAAAATGGTTAGGGGGCTGGGATACATGATTTATGAGGTTGGGAGAACTGGGTTTATTTAATCTGGAGAAGAGAAGACTGAGGGGGGATTTAATAGCAGCCTTCAATTACTTGAAGGGTGGTTCCAAAGAGGATGGAGCAAAACTGGTCTCACTGGTGGTAGATGACAGAACAAGGAGCAACGGTTTCAAGCTGCAGCAAGGGAAGTTTAGGTTAGATATTAGGAAACACTTTCTCACTCAGAGGGTAGTAAAACACTGGAACAGGTTAGGTTACCCAGACAGGTTGTAGAATCTCCATCTTGGGAGGTTTTTAAAACCTGGCTAGACAAAGCCTTGGCTGGGATGATATAGCTGAGGATGGTCCTGCTTTGAGCAGGGGGTTAGATTGGATGAACTGCTATGATCCCTTCCAACCCAAACTTTCTATGATAAACTCTCATCTACTGTCAGGCCCTCAAATACCACTGCATCTTCTCCGAGAACATTTGTGACAACCCACTTCACCAACATGAAAAGCGCCTTTAACTAGCAAGGACACTGCAGCAGATCAATAGATTCCATCTATGAATGTGCCATGCAAATAGCCTGCAATGGCTTACTTCAATACTGGAAGATTACCTTCACTCATACTCCTCTGGTTGTTACATACCATCCTAGACTGGAATCTGTTAGAAGGACCATCAAACAAGTTATGGTCTATAATTGAAAAAGTTCAAACTTGAGGGAAGTATTGACTTCAAGCAACCGGCAAACCTGGCCCAACTCATCAGCTAAAGCAAAATCCCCTCCAATCACAAGACTCCAGATGGGACACAACCCTGCCTCAACAATAAATGAACCTATCAACACATCTCCAGTGCCACAAGTGAAGACCCCTCTCAACAAAACCATCAGAATCCATGCACATCACGCAATGTAGTGCATCTCATTCACATGCCTCCATGCAAACTGTGTGAGTGAAACTAGACAGGAATTACACACCAGAATGAACTTTTACTGAAAAGATAATAGACGGATACAGGAACATAGATAGAGCTATATTTTTCACAGAACAACCATTTCTTCTCTGACCCAACAATCTTCAAGCTGAAAAAGAATTTACAAAACATCTCCAGAAGATAGGCCTGGGAAGAGTGATTTGTTATTCTATTAAGACCAAATTTTACCTGTCTAGCATAGGCAATGCCTTTGTGGCTCACTACAGCCTTACAGATACTGCCAATCATTTCCTTGAACTGCTCAGGTAATTGCCCCCAACCTCTTCTAGAAAGATCTGCTTTGCCACTAACCTGTTGCACCTGTCTATACCTCTTCGTTACTAGCTCAAAGCCCTCCTCCATCTCTCCAAGCAGACTGTTTGTATTTGCATGGAGTCCTTTTATTTATTTTAAATTTAGCTTAGCCTGTGTCTGCTTCTCCTTCAGACATGGGGAAGGGCACTTGATGCCCAAAGGTTCATCTAACAGCTCTCCCAACTATACCATTAATCCAGTAAAAAAATAGCACATAAAAGCCTTGCCTCTCAGCATTTTCTGGACCAATTACAGCTGAAACAACACTCCGGATTCTTTATAAACAGAATAATTTAATTATTTGTCACAAAGGAAGAAGCTATGCAGGAAAACTTAAGCCTAAGTGCTATTCAAAAAGTGTGATATATTTCCAAAATAAAAATAATACATTAGAATCCCATTTTAAAAATCCAAACAATCCACAATTAGAGACTACAAAACAACGTTTGCAGTAAGAAAACAAAATAAATTGCAATATTCTTTATGTGCAAGCATACATTTACATTTATTCAAGTTAGATTTAGGACTTTAATGTCATGCTGCTTACTAGGGGAACACGAAGCGGGCCCTGTGTGATTCGGATTCGGTCTGAATCAGGGACAGTGATTCAATTTGTTGATTCAGATCACTGTCCCTGATTTGATTTGGCCGAATCCGAATATGAAGATTCGATGCTGATTTGGAGAGTCAGCAATTCAGACATAGACAGAGCTTTAAGAGTTTTTTCTACGTGCCTTGAGGTAGCAGGTGTGGTTCTTGAGTGCTGCAATGCTGGGGTGCATGGAGCATCCCACAGGAGTGCAGGGGGGCCCTCCACATGCTCGGCGGCAAAGCCACAGTGGTTCAGAAGCACTTACAGGGAGCATGCTGGGTGGCGCCCCCCCCACGCCTCCCTGGCTTGGTGATCGGCCACAGGGGACCCCGGGAACCCCCCCAGGAGGCACCAGTCACCAACCCAGGGGAGCGCAGGGGGCCCCCCCAGCGCACTCCCTGGCAGACCCGGAAGTAGACCAGAATTGCTTCTGCTCCACTTCTGGGTCTGCTGTGGAGCGCACTGGGGAACCCCCCATTCTTCTGTGGGACACTCCATGCGCCCCAGCATCACAGCATTCATCAGTCACTGCTACCTAAAGGTATGTAGAAAAAACATTAAAGACATCTCTATGCCTCAATCTTTCCGAATCAATTCAGAGGGTTCCGATTCAATTCAGAAAGATTAAAGGGTCCTCTGATTTGATTCAGATTCAGAGGTTCGGCCACCGAATTGGGCCGAATCGAATCAGGGACCGAAGCTTCACACAGGCCTAATGCTTACTTCTCCTAAAAATGGAGTGCATTTCTTTTACATATTGGATGTTTATATCCTTACATTCCATATTTCACAAAAAAACAGCTTGCTGCCATAGCAGAAATAATCACAAAAAAAGGCTGAAAGGGTCTCCTAAAGGTCTGCTAGTTCAGCTGAAGGCAGAATCATCTCCATCTCAACCACCAACATAAATATTTATCTAACCTGCACTTAAGAACTTTCTATCTGTGCCAGGTGGTAAAGTACTGGAACAGATCATCTAGGCAGGGTGTCATTGGAAGTTTTTATTACTAAATCTAAATCTCCCTGGGTGCAATTTAAGCCCATTACTTCTTTTCCTGTTCTCTGTAATGCTCAGAAGACAACTGATCACTATCCTCTTCATAAGAAGACTTTTTTGTATTTGAAAGCTGGATCAAATCACCCTTCCATATTCTTTTTTTGTGTTAATATGTCATGTTTCTAGATATCTAATTACTTTTGCTGCTTTCTTCTTCTTTCCCATTTTTCCCCCTCCTGGGTATGATATGAAATTTAATACTCACACTTGGACACAATGCTCCAGGTGAGGCCTCATTTGAACCAAATAATGTGAAGAAGAATCACTTCCAGCTGCTGGCATACAAACACTCCTATTAATATAAACTAGGATGCTCTTTTATGCATCTTATTTTCAGACTGGGAGAACCAATACTTACTGTGACCTTTGTGCAACCAGAAGTTCATTTTTTGCAAATTCAAAATCTTTTGGACCATCACTTGAAAGAGTCGTTCCACAAGATAGCCTTTTTACTTTCTGAACTTCTACAGGATGATTAAACCTAAAATAATGGTCTCCACCAAGGATTACACGATCACCCTGAAAAAATACAAAAAATCTGTAGTTCTCTAATTTTACAATAAATATACAGTACAACAAACGTGGGAAACATTAAGAGATCTAATACTCTTGTCAAATTTAACCATTTCAGAGCGTTCTCAAAATCTACAGTCAAAGCTTTTAAACCAGTGCTGGGTGTTTATTAATATGCAATATGTAAACAGAGTTAATCTTTTGACAGTCAACTTACATGGTGCAGAATTGTTCGGTCCAAAATTTGTTTCCCATTAACATACGTCTTTGCTTCTCCCAGGGGGGTAATACTCACGTTACTGTGAACATTTTTGATAATGCTGAAAACAAAAAACATTTGTGACATCAACAGGCATTGTGAATTTAAAATAAAGTTTATAGACTAGAGCACATTATAGACAGACAGACATGCAACTTATGGCACTCTCTCTACCCTGAGTCATTCATTTCTCTGCCACATGCTCAGTGCAGCATCTAGCTGGCAGCTGCCACAGCCCTTCCGGCTCTGTGACAAGGGCAGATCTTTCACACCACTGCTGCAGCCTGAACTTACACTCCCCCCACAAAATTCAAGCTAGCCATTACCAATAGCAACAAAAATCAGAAATAACTGGCAGCAATATTAAGTGGAGACTGTATTAGGAGGGAAGTTTGAGAGCAGCCCTTGGCACAGACCCAGGAGGGCTGGGGTGCTGCAGATGGGATCAGCATCGCCATTTTTAAAAGGTTGTCTAAATTATCAGGGGTGACAAACTTGTAGCATGACTGCCACAAGTGGCCTGGGGCACCATACAGCAGATCAGCAAGGTAGTAGAGAGTACAGTGGCAGATAGGGAAGGAAGCAGAAAGCAAAGTAGTAGATCAGGCAGAGAAGAAGCAGCATAACACAGAGCAGCAGGCCAGGCAGGGAGCAGAGGACTGGGAGCAGAAGGCAGGAACAGAGAGATCAGGCAGAGGAAGAGGATTGGAATGGCACTCAGGGAATGCAGGGTTAATTTGTGGCATGCTTGCCAAAAAGCTTGGTTTCACTGTTTTAGACTGCTTTTTCCCCCCAGAAAAACTGATAGTCTTCACACTAATCATTCATTGCACCACATTCCTCAAGTATATTGTTTTATGACTAACAGCCTTCATTTTAAATCAGAAGTAACTTTAAGTATGAAGAGATCTGCTACTAAAAAAATCAGAGCAATTTTCTGCCATCTGAACTGATGAAACACATTACCTTTTATATATTATTTTTCACTAGTACATTTAGATTTTCTTGTTATATAACTGGTTCTAGACAGATATTCACATGGTAAAACAGTTCTTCTACAACCTGGCCAGCTCACAGATAAAAGTTATTTAATTCAGAAATTTTAGCTATGATGAATAATACAGAGGGGAAAATATTGAAACATGATGAAAAGAAAAACTACAATGGCATCTAAATTTTAGAAGACTACATTTTCTATTCACATTTTAGAAAGTTTATATATACACTTTTCCTAAATCAAAACTGAAACTTTAAAGATGAAAGCTCCTGCTACCTTGTATAGTGGTCTCCTTAGTCAAAAGCCTCTCTACCAAGGGGCAAGGGCAGAGGGGAGCAGATGGAGGTGAAAGTGGGCGTTCGATTCCTATTTATGGATAATTAACATGCATGTTCACCAAAACATTTTTGCCCACAAAAATCCTTAGTGAGGACTAGCACTGTATTTCTCAACTTACAGACTCCTCTGTATATAAAATATCACAAAACATTCAGTAACTTGCATATCTTCTGCGTGTTTAATTGTATTTTATTGTTTCTCAACAGGAATGAATCCATTAAAATGTTTTTGGTTTGGTATGGAGCAGTGATCCATAAGCAAAATACTATTCTTCTGTCAGCTAGAATCAGCATTGTGCTTCAAAGAAAAAGTGAACAATGACAAAACATGAAGACTTAGCACTCATTGCCTTTTCTACATCTTTCACTATTTAAATGGTCTAATCCTGACATTACAATTAATATTTTTTGCTTATTTTTAAAGTGTTACTTTTCATTCCTGTATAAAACTGATAATAAAATTTATTTTCATTTGAGATATTCATGTATTTATATTTTGCATTTCCTATTTTATATTATGAAACAGCTCTCTGTAATATTAGTCATTCAAAAACATTATCACCTCACACAAAGGAAACTGACTTCCTTTTTAGCTGAGATTGAGAACAGCAACATAATGCAGATGACTGGGACACTGAAAAATTCTGTGATCATTCCAAAAAAATGCAGGGAGTATTTTAATATTTTATAAAACTAAACAAAGTACTGATCAACTACCCTAATAAGTTCCTCACTTTAAGCACTTGGATAGTCTTTAACTCAATGCAACTCTATACAAGATTGAAGTTAGGCACATATTTAAAAAAACAAAATATTTAAATGACTTCTTTCAATCCCTTGATTAAAGTCAAGTTGCATCAGAATTGTGTGACCTTCCCATTCAAAGTGAGAAGTTACAATACATAGCACCATACAAAAACATTTCTTTCAAAACTTTCTTTCCTAAGCAGACAGTTTAGCTAGGCTAATCCTAAAGACACAAACAAGATTACTATCCTGACAAAGATCAGACATACTTGAAGTAATTAACTTTTTTTGGGGGGGGGGGGGGGGGGAAGGAAGAGCGAGAGAGAAAAAGACAGTATCACATACCAGTGATCATCAGCAATCAGCACTCCAGAAAGCTGAATATCATGAGCTGAATTTGGTTTGTACTTTCCAACTGTAGTTTCTCCTTCTTTTATCATGTATAAGAGCAACTCAGAGAGCTGGGGATCCTCATTGAGATTGACAAGGTTTGGCAAATGATTGTCCATCTTGAATGTAATTCCTGCTTTCTACGCAATGGATTCAGAAAAAAAAATATTTGAGATTTGTTTATGTGTAACGATATGTATTTAAGGAGTAAAGTGTGCATGCCCTACACATGTTATTTTAGAACACTAACCTGAAGAGGATAACTAATATTGACTAATCCCTGCAACAGTTGTGTAGAAGAGGGAAATTGATTCTTGGGACAAACCCAATTCTTCACACTAAGGTGTTTATTAGTATAAAACTTGTCCTATATAACCATCATTTGTATAAAAAGGGTACCTGTAATTCTTTTGTTTCTTTAAATTTTCTTTTTTCTGCTTGTTCAAGTTTTTCTTTCCAGTCCCTTAGCATAACACGAACACATACAAACACAAAAAAAATTTTTATTAAATATAATTTTTATTTTTTCTAGAGTAGGAGAACTACTTTGCTATTTCTGCTAGTTGCCATTTCAAAGACATTCACTACCACACCTTTGCATCTCTGCCATATCCTTGTCTTGCTGGTGTAGTTTTCCCCTTAAAGATGTTATTTCCTGCAGATAACGTCTGTATTTTTCAGGGTCAGTCTTCTGAGCATTTTTCTGAGCTGCTCTCAGTTTTTCAATTTCTGCTTTCAGTTCTAATTAAGAGCAAAATTCATCCATTACACAAAATACTGGATGCTAGATTAACCAATGTTTAATTAAAAACAACAACAACAACACCGTATCCCATTTTATCAGAGCTCTAAGGATTTTATCCTAACATGGAGTGTTCCTTGGGATTTTGTCTATAGAAAACATCCCATTCACTCCTTGATTTGGGGAAGATTGGGAGTGTGGGTGGGAGGGGTGGGGGGAGAAGAGAGAGCAAGAACAGTTTTGAGGTTTATTAATTTATTTTTAAGAGAAATACATTGGTGTTTTATTACACTGTACACCTGAAATTCAAGGCACCAAAACAGTTTGCAACTGGTTAGTCTGAAACACTGTAGAGTTAAAAAGTGTCTTTTATATATAGTTTATTTTTTGTAGTTAAAGTCTAGTATTCACTCATCTATCATGTATTTCTCCAAAATGGTGATAACACTGGCAACAGCAGCTGAAAGGAGCTGCTGGCACCAGAACTGCCAAGAAGTGGAGTCTGGCTGCTGTGCCACTCCAACCCCACTACATGCCGGGAGGGCGGTAGGACTGGCTACACATGACACGGCCCGGACTGCCCCCAAGCCTGGGCCAAGGGACCCACCACAGGCCAGATAAAAATCCTTGGCAAGCTGAATCCGGCCCATAAGCCATCTTTTGCCCACCCCTGGCTTAAGCATTAGTAGGCCTGAATTTCTTAATGCTAATTATTCCGAAAAAAAACTAAATAGAAACAATATTAAAATGAATCTCTCTCAAATATGCAGTTGTTACAAGAAGACACTGATAGTAGGATCTATTTAGACAGTAGATTAAAAATGCATGCAAATAAAAAATAATCCCACTGATATCAGCCTTACCTCGGATTAATTTAGCATTCACGTCTTCATTTACTTTGGCAATGTTGATTATCCAACAGGCTTGCTTTGCATATCGAAGAGTGCTAAGCGTTTCCTCTACATAACTGGCTGCTGGGCTTATTGTGGCAATCATAGTAGTTTTTGAATTTCCACCTAAACTTTCCTTTAACAACCTTCATTAAGAAGAAAATGAAATGGCATTTATTCCCAGTGCTGAAAGCAAAATTTACCCCTACAGTTCATAATGGATTACATACTATATACATACAAATATAAACAAACAAAGAAACCCTTGTGTTTACTATTTGGTTCAAGATGGTTTTCAAATCAACTAGAAGCCATCAGAAGGAGCAGGAGAAGACTTGAGATACATGGCCCATATCTCAAGATATCTTAATTCCCTCAAAGTGTAAGATAAACTCAACTACTTTTTTCTGTAATAAATGTGACATATTGTTTAATTCTTTATGACTCATAAGATTCTTACTGTCACACACATTTCTACAGCACCTCCACAGCCACCGTTCATCCCATCACCAGAGGTGGGTCCGGATCTGGCCCACAAGGAGCCCAGCAGTTCAAAACAGGTCTCAAACAATTTTGACACACTTGTTTTAAGAGCTACATAAATAAATCACAGGTCAATTTTGAGCCAAGTAACATGTCAACTATTTTGTTTGTTCCTTTCTTACTGACAATACCAAAGTAATACCTGGAAGGGAATATCATATGGATTAAAGATTTTTTATTGTATTAGATTTTTAAAATTTGTTCTTGTATTAAAATCTCATACCAAACTACACTATCCCTGTTATCTCCTCATTTAAACAATTTCCAGGTTTTTGAGTGCTGTGCAAAACAATACATCTTGCCAAAATGGATATTGGAAGAATACTGGGAAGGATAAAAAGCTTGCCTATAAAGTTATTTGCTTTGCTCCCTTCAGGCACAAGCGGCATCTATCCCTCTATGCTTATCTCCCTCCAGGTTTATTGTTTAACTATTGTTAAAACTGCCAGCAATGGAATAATTCCATTATCAAAAGTTCTAATCTATCTTTAAAAAAAAATCCTATTAGGGTACTGCTTACCTATACCAGCTGATTTAAAAATGACACAGATTATCCTGTTATCCAAGATGAAAAAGCAACAGCAGAAATACTACTTGGATGAGACTATAAGGACTGCTCAGTTGGACAGCAATTCATGTTCTTAAGGTTTTGCCTTAATCTTAGGAAAACTAGCTGATTCCCAGGTGATCCTATAGAACTAACAGATGGGAAATGAATGAGTATCTCATCATTAGAGAAGGAAACCTGGGAACCGGGGATAGCTAATGAGGAGCGATTCCCACCCATGCCTTCACCCAAAGACTGTATTCTTGCCTCCTACCTTCCTTTGCCACTGAGACAATCTGGCTATCAACCTGCTATAAAACATTACAATAGGAGGAGAAAGAACCACCATGGAGTTAAAATGATTCATGCAAAAAACAGAAAGGCAGCAAGGAAAATATAGACAGAGTAGAAGGTCGCTTGCTTTTCCATGGGGAACAGTTACAGTGCTCAAGATCCATGAGAGGTTGTTCCTTCCAGACAAAAGACATACACAACAAAGGGTAGAGACAGAGGTAACATTTGAAGCACTTCAGCTGTAGACAAATACATGGCCCTCTGCCACACCTCTAAGCTAAAGCACTTCAATGTCACCTCAGCTGCATGCAGCAATATGTTCTCCAGCCAGGAAGCATGACACGGGCCTGCTTTGTCCCCCAAACTGTGCCCTGCCCATCCCCGCTGTCCCTTCCAGTTCCAGTGCAAAGGGCACTCTGGGAGAGTGAAAGCAGAGAGCATCTGCAGACAGTAAAGTGCTCATGGACACTCAGCTGCACTCACCAGAATGCTCTGCACCCCATGGTCTTAAAGAGCAGAGCAGCAGGCTGCAGCAGACCCTTTCTCATCCCTTCCCACCTACCAGAACATTCAATGAAGAGCTGACTGCCAGTGTGCACTCCACCTCCAGGGTGCCCCTCAACCACAAGTGGGAGAAGTGTGGAGCATCCATTCTTCTGGTTCCAGTGGAAGGACACTCCAGGAGAGCAGAGGTAAAGGACACAAGAGAGCTCTTGTTGACAGTCTACCCCACTCCATGGCTAGGGAAGGCAGGAAAGGAGATTGGAGCAGCATGGGATGCTGGAGGATTAAGCCCTCCCTTCTCGTACCCCATACAGCATGCATATGTAACTGAAAACACTTCTAAAGAGTAGGGGGGGTTTCCTACAAGGTTGTTTTGGAGCACTTTGCCATTTTTTAAGTCTGTCCAGTCAGCCTTTTAGGTGCTTCAAATGTTATATCTATCCATACCCAGAAAGATGAGGGTGCTGTCAAAAGGAAAAAGTACTAGAAAACTGATTTCCTCATCTATAGAGCAGAAAACTAAGGTTCCATGCATTAGCCTCCAGAGTACCCAGGCCATTTAAGAAATAAATAAATCATTCATGATTATATCAATTTTGCAAATGGTAAGAAAAGCCTATTGGACAGAGTGAGGCATTACAATGCTACTTCAGATGTTGAATCCACAGTCCAAGACACATGGTTTCCATTTAATATCTGGTTACCATACTGTGTAGTACAGGGCAGGCAATTATTTCAGGCGGAGGGCTGCTTACTGTGTTTTGGCAAGCCATTGAGGGTGACAGGCAGCTGGGAGCAGATAAATATTAATTTTCTAAATTTTTTAGGGGCCCCATGGGCTGAATAAAACGGCCTGGCAGGCTGTATCCAGCCCACAGGCCGCATTTTGCCCACCCCTGGTGTAGTGCCACTGGATATATACGTACCATGTAAGGACAGATTCCCGGTAAGGAATGAAAATTCTCTTCCCATTTTGAGTCTGCTCAGAGAGTGCAGAAATGACCTTCCCAAGAGTTAATAGTGACTTATTAATACTCACACCCTCCTATATAAAAAACACAAAATAAAAATAAATTCACAGTATAATTCTGAAAATGAAATGGTTCAGTTTATATTTTTACAGTCCAATTACTAAGACTAGAATGTACTAGACTGGCAGCATCATCTGATAAAGTAGCCTGGATCTAGTTGACTATATGATACAAGTACAGTCCCTGACAGTACCATCTTATGGCAGATTTAATTAATTTACTTTGTCCTAATATTCGTACACATGTAGACTAAGACACTTTACTGTGGAGCTAATTAGTCAACTGCAATAAAGCACACATCTAGATGCACCCATTTTGCTGTAAACTAGGGTGGATAAAAATCAACAATTTTTTTAAAAATATAAAAAAACCCTCAGATTTTATTTAAATTATATACTTTTTAATTTAATCATATTTTTTGTTAAGATGCTTTAAAAAAAAAAACCTATATAAAGAAAGTTTTAACTTAAGATATGTTAAAGCTCAAAGATATCACCATGGAATAGGGATGATAACTTCTAATTATATACTATTTAAGACAATATATTTATGTAATCTTTTTAGAAAAGTTTTATAAATAGGTCACTACAGGTCATAGACTATATCAGGAGCCCAATCTTATGGGGTTCCCAGAGGCTCCTGTATAGATTAGTAAAGTTTAAAGAAAACCACTGTACCCAATGGGACTCAGTCTAGAAGATCCCATTAAGCATTTCTGCTTAGTTTCAGTTCTCAAACTGTGGATTTGTGTCTCTAGAGATAACATCCTTGTTAATAGCAGTATAGGGAGATGAGAGATAGCAGACCTGATTAACTACCCATCAGCCCTATGGTCTCTCTGCAACTTTGTGTACACAGAGTCAAGCCCTTGCCTCTCTCTCAAAATGCAAAGTTTCAAGAAGTTAAATGAATAGATGATTGTTGAGCGTGGAGTAGAGCTGGGCAAGGAGGAGTCTGACGTTAAATGCAAGGATTGAGGGACAGTAGAAACAAATGAGAAACATTTTGAGCAGAATATTCCAGAAGTCTTGAGGGATAAGTTTCTGAATATAGCCTCAACATTAATTTGAGATCAGGTGAGGGAATAGTAGGGTAGAAGGGAAAACCTATCATAGCAGCAGGCTTTCCAGGCCATAAAAGAGAGAAGAAAAAAAATCAAAGATAAAAAGAAATCTAGAAGAAAATGAAGACAGCCCCAAACTAATAACATATGGCTGCAGCACTCATCTGATGTCCTCCTAATATGGTGTGACAAAAATATCACCCAAATATCCATGATTAATCTAGTGAATTGGAGATAGTTCACCACCCAGTGACTTTCACAAATATCTTCTTCAATTATCTTTGGTAAATAAAATAACCAATCATAATTCAGTTTTCTGATGTAGCTGTAAAATTAATCTGAAAAAATATAAAATAAATCACTGTTTTAAAATGTATAGTGTGTACCTACTAAAAATGAAACATACATCTATCTCTGATTTGTGAATAATATGAATTATGGTTATAGCAAACAAGAATGCACTTTTTGTAAAAAACAATGATTAAATCGAGGCATCCTGACCAGTTATTTAAATCATGATTTAAAGTTGATTTAAAGTTCAAATCCACCCTGCTGTAAATTACTTCATTAAGTTTGGCTCCAGATTGGGGTAGGGCACTTAATTGTACATTGTGGGGGCAGTGGTTTAAGAGCAAGTTGGGAAGAACACTTTCTCAAAGATTTTTTTTTTCTTTTTTGCTTATTTCTATTTCCAAGGAATTAGATAGTTCAGTAAATGTTCTCTCCTTTGCTCAGGAGAAGTGAATATTATAGGTTAAATTACAATAAATTTGCATCATAAGAGAAAATCTAAAACAAACATCAAATAATAAAGCAGTTTTAGATGAGAACTAGGATGTCAATCAGATATCAACCCCCCCACACACACACACATAACAGACTTGCAGAGAACTGTTTTTTCTAACAACAACAATAATAAAAAAGTGATCATCACTGCAAAAAAAAAAGCACCCACTATGGCAAGATTCGCTGATTTACTTGACACAGAAACAAATATTTTAATTTCATAGCCTCGTAAGACTGCGTTCTTTAGGATAGACCATTTTTTACAAAATGGTAAATGCAATTTACCTTTAGCCTCTCCCCATCACTCTGAGTTGCTGAGCAGCGTTCGCTACCGGCTAGATCTATTAGATTTATGCAACTAGTAATCCTATGATCATGTTGCTCCTCTTCCACAAATTCTGTCTGGAGCAAAGAGATTACTGTTTTTAGTCTGGAAAAAATTTAATGTTCTCTATGACTGATCACCAAAATAAAAAAAAAATCTATGAAGAGGTAAAGTTCTGCTGCACTATTCACCATTAACAATAAACAAGACATCTATCCATTTTACTATTTTGGTGGGACAGCAACAGGTTAAAAAAAAGAAAAGGCCAAGCTGTTAAACTATGACATCAAGAGAGAACAAATCTTGGAGAGTTTACAATACCAAAACATTGCATAGTAGTACTTACTTATGCATTTATGGGTTATTTGGGTGTGGGAGGGGTTCAATATTTTGCTACCTCAGCTTAAATACTGCTACCTGTGTCTCAACTCAGAACCCATGTTATATAGCGGAATTACTGCTGATATGACTAAGTGCAGGATCAGACTAATGGTTGATGAGAAGTATACTTACCTAGCTTGTCCACAATGGTGGGAAAGACATGGTGGTGACAACAAATGCAAAAGATCAGGAAAATGTTTGTGGGAGGATAACACTGATGGCTTATAGATGTGAAGCACTGTGTCTACCTGGTCTCCTTTGCTACTCATGCTTGTCTTCCATACATATACAGATCACATAGTTAAGGAGGATGCTCAAAGCCCAGAAAATACTGTACCCCTTAATGTCTCAGCAACTCCCTCCTAACAGTCTCCAGATGCCCTTGAATTATCCAGTGTCTAACCCAAGACATGAAATAGTAGAACATCACTGGGATGTAACTATACAGAACCGTGTATTATAGTGTTTTCTCCTTTAGCTAATTTATATATTTCTGTAAATATGTAAAGCTTTGCGTTATAGAAAGAGTTGCTGACCTGAGAAGTTTACAAGGACTCAGATATTTTTAAAACATACATTTTAAAAACACACCAAGACTACCAAATAAACCATATGTGGCTGCTTGGCAAGCAATACTTGCCTCTCCCAATACATTCTTTTCTAATCATACAAACTGAATTTTCCACCAGTAGATTACAAACATTAACTGGAAACAATCATCCAGCCAAGTAATACCTTTGTTTGTGTCATCACAAGGGTGAACACAGAGTGAGATCTAGAGCTCTTGTCATTCATCCCAGTGGCAGCTGTTGCTCTCTGTTTATTTCCTAGCTCGAGCCAACTCTGATGGAGACAAGAGGCAGGATATAAAATAAAAGGATGCCGAGAACAGCTATCTGAAGTTAAAAAAGAAATCTACAAGTCCATGACAAAAGTATACGGTGTCTAAATTTAGAATCCTGTAAACTACCAAAAGGAAAAGTTGAGCATCCACAAAATGCTTTGGATATGTAAATTAAGTATGATGACAAAGAGTCATCAATGTTTTGGGCATTTTTTATGCTTTTTGTTTTTTTAATGTGTTCTCACATATGAAAATTAAACTTGAGTAAGCTTTTTGAGACAGTACATCTCAGAGAAAAATGGATGCACCAGTACTTCTACCCAACATTTAAAGAGAAATTAAAACTAGAAGTTTAAGTCTCTGCGTTATAATAGTCTGCTGGCACATGCCAAGTTGTATAGTCAGGGTGCGTCCAGACGAGTGCAGTGTGGGGCGCTGCAAACATGCTTGCAGCACCACATACCACATAGTCCAGTGTTCTCCACGCTGCAAAGGGATGCTGCCCAAGCGTGCACTATGCTGGGATTTTTTTGATCCTGAGATATCCAGCGGTTAAAAAAAAAAAAATCGCAGGAAAAAAAATGGCGCAACATATGCACAGGCAGCGCACACTGCTGAAAAGCAGAGCCACGCAGCCCAGAGCTGCACTCCACTGGTAGCCAGGCTCTGCACAACAGAATCACCATGGCTGCAGCCCTCAGGAGGCCCCCAGGAGCCCAGATAATGCAGTTGAGGGCAGCACGGTGCTGGCCCCAGCCACCCCTACCCCACCCGGGGCAACTTGCCACTCGCCAAAGTGCACATGCACAGGTGTTCCCCAGAAACAAGTAGCTGCAGCACAAGGTGCATCGCTGCTAGTTGTCCACAGGGAACCAAACGTCCACACACGCCTGTACGCACGCTCAGGGTCAAAAGCATGTTTTACTTTTACCAAATCAGATAGGATATAGTTTTATGGACTCGACTTTAGAAATTTCTCTTCTACAAATGGACAGAAGTACAATAAAAAAAAAAGGAAAAAGAAATCATGGGAAGAAAAAAAAATGAGAGAGAGTTTTAATAAAAATTACTAACCAACTGATTTTTTAAAGTTACTAAAGAAGTCTTACCTGGACATCAGAATAAGAACTGACGACATTCCTATAAAATAAAATAAGTAAAGTGAAGATCAATTAATTTAATTCTACACAATTCATTAGTTTGGTTGTGAAATATTTTACTGAACTATAAATGTACATATTAAATGCTCAATTCTGACAAAGCTTGTGTTCTTGTCATCACTTAGCAGACAAGCATCTGTGCATACCTTTCTAGAAGGTTTCTATGGGCTAAGATCCTGACCAGTCATACTAGGGTGGACAAATATGTCTGCCTGGAGTCTCAGGATAAGAAGCATATATTCTAGCCTGATACAGTTACTAAAGTTATAATAGCTAAGAAAGACTTACGCTGTCAAGTCTTCCACATATGGTCCAAACACAGGATGTTCTCGCACACGAAGCTGTTGAGATTAATTGTAAAAAACATAAATAAAAAAAATTAAAAATGATCTGTTAACATATATGAATTGGTCATAAAAATTTTGTAAGAATCCCTTAAAATATTAATTACAAAAAATATGTGCCATAGTACAAGTTTTAGTCATTCCAAAAATAGTCTTCTAGAGTAACAAATTACAAAAATGATAAAGCTTCAGTGTTGCAGGGGACATAACAGAAAATGAGTTTCCTATAACAAGATGGACCATGCCAAAGTCAGACATAAACTGGGCAAGATTGTTGCTTAAAGGACACAACAAAATATACAAGAAGAGTTGCACAAAATAATATAGAAGTCCATTATGAATTTATCATAAAGACTCTTCACACTGCCGTGACAGAATTTTTCAAAACTACTGCACATTTAGTGTTATGCAGAAATTTAGCCCAAGTCCATATATGTATTCTGTCAATAACCACAGCCTACCTTGCCTTTTTGAGGTTAACAGAGCTAGAAGGCATTTAGAAAAAACAGAATGAAATACTACTACAGATGAAGTAAAGTGCACTAACATATGCTATGTATTCCATTTCCAGCCACATAAGTGTTACCATTTTATGGCTTTGGCCACATACAGACATTACATTTCTACCAGGAGAATTATTGCTCTCCCAGTTGAAATTACCAGTGTACAAACATTCGTTACATTTCTTGCAGAGGAAATGTGCACCATCTACAATAAAGATCTTTCACCTGGATGCCTGGAAAAATCTCCCCATAAGAGTTTCTTTTGCTAGAATGAGATAGAGGAGAAGGGACAGCAGCATCCTGTGTGCCTTCCCCAGACAGGACATATTCCCTGGAGGCTAGAACACCTGTACAGTTCCTCTCTCAGAAAGATTTCTGCTACTGCCAAATTTCCCAGATGTTTTTCAGCAGTAGAAATGAGTACTTGTCCTTTGTCCATGTCCTTTGTCCACTCTTTCTCCTGTTAAAACATTTTTCCCACCCCTTCAGTTTTACTTATTCACTGTCTACCTTGTATCTCTATTTGTGGTATTAAAATCTCTGCTTCTGCAGGCAACAAGATTTCTATATTGCATTCCTCCTCTTTCAAGTTTGTTTTGCTTTTCTTTCTCAATTTGCCCAATGTTCCACTGCTGTCCTCTCTCCCTAGATCCATGGCAAAAAGTGGTCCAGTTTTATATTTATCTTGATGTAAATTACAAGCAAAACTAGGCACTGTAATGTTTATCTCTGTGTAACTAATCAAGATAAATACTAGGTCAGTACTATGCAACTGCTGTCTACTAGGGACAAAATGAAAGTGACATGTAGGTTGCCTCCAGTAAGATTTTACATTGAAATATCTATCTTGAGTTGTCCATATCAATTCAGACAAAGCCTATATGGTTTTTGCTTTCTCTGAAAAGACAGAAAAAGAGTAAATTAAACAGCCAGATCTTCATCTGATTAACTGTCACATCCCCGATTATTTCAACAGAGCTATGATAATTTACACAAGATGAGGTAGCAATTGTCCAGTTCAAAATTGCAGCATCTCACAAACAGAAAAGTTGAGTCCTGCAACACAAATGTTGCATTAAGTTGTTATGGAAATTTCTTAAATGCCACGATTAACACATTCATTGTGCCATAAATGTAACTGTCACAACCCAAGGGTGTGATTTTTGTTTGTGTGCGCTTCGGCACCGCTGAATTATTTCCCGCCACTCGTAGCTTTCTTTGCAGGGTGCATTTCTAGGTTGCAAAAGAGAAATGCACGGTGCAAGGAGTTCCCGCCATTCACATGCAAATTTGTGTCCCACTATTGGCCAGTTCTAAATTATTCCCACGTGGCAGCTAGCGATTGGCATGCTAGCCGTATAAGAGGCTTGAGCGGTTTCCGCCCAAGTTGGAGGAGGAGGAAAAGGAAAGAGAAAGAGGAAGGCTTCACGTCTCGTGAAGATCTCTAAGTGCTGCGGAGCCTATCGGACCCAGCGCGTATACCTCAAGAAGGCTATAGGGGTCTGATCAGCCTCTCGCCTCTCCCCGTCGCCGCCTGATCCCTCGACGTACCCTTCCCTGCGCACAAGTTCCACGGAGCCTAGCAAACTTCGTGTGAGTGTACCCAGAGCTCTGTCCGGGTTCGAGTCCTGCAGGTTTATCTTCCTGTCGCCGAAAACCCATTGCGACGTACTCTCGTGTTTTGCATCTTCCCGTCGCCGAAAACCCCTTGCGACGTACTCTCGTGCCCTGCAGGTTCGAGTTTTGTTTTGTTTTGTTTTGTCTGTAACCGCAACTCAAGCAAGTTTTCCTGCCTGCACCGCGACCATCTTCGGTGTAAGTAAAATAATCTTTAATCAACCACTAAGCTTCCATGCCTAATTCTAGCGTGCCGCCTGCCTTCCCCAACCTGGCGTGTCCGGGCTGCTGGCCACAGCCCGCCGCGCGAAAAACCCCCGAGGGCCTCAGACCGCTCCCGGCCCGCACAGTAACATGTAGAGGGTCTGCTGGAGACCCACCAGATTAAAAGTCAAAATGAGGTTGCCTCCCTTTTAATTCTTATCTTTAGGCCAAATTTCAATTGGACAATGTAAATGCACTCAGGAATAAACATTTCCAAAGGGAAACAAAGAGCAAAAAACAAACCTCCTAATATTAGGACATGACTTTTAATGCTTTATTTCTAATTTCAATGAAATGCACGAATCCTGTGTACCAGTGGGTGCATCACCAAGGCTAAACATTTAGGCAGCTCACAGATAAAGCATCCCTCTAAGCAGAAAGCATACCATAGTTTTATATAGCTATGCGGCAGCTTCTAAAACACTTTCTAACCCTCTATCCTAACCACTTGCCCATCTACACCCAGATTACAAGAATGCTGATAGGGAAAATTACCACAGAGACACCCAAATTATAACAATGAAGAGAAAGAGAGAAGAAATAAACCTTAATCTGAAGAAGTCATACAAAAGGCAGTTCAGGGTAGCACCTTAGTCAGCCTCTAAGAGTAAAAACAGACATTGGATGTCAGTTTTCTCCCAGGACAAAGCCTTTTATCTTGGGATCCTAGAGGGGCAAACCCATCATCCCACTTTAAGTGCCTGTGAAGTATCTGAGATAACAGACTTCAGAGGACAGTCAGGCTAATTTGAGTTAATGCCATTCATTGCAGAGACAAGCTACCTGCTAAGAGGGCTATGCTGCTCCCAGAACCACTAACCTCTTCTACCTTCTGCCTAAATTGTGACAATGTCTACCAATAGTCATCAGCAAATCAAAGTCCTATATTAAATATTGATATTATCTTCCCCTTTTTACAGATGAGATAGAACTGAGATAGGAAGTAAAGTTAATGATCCATTTTCAGAGTGTCAGGTTTGACCTAGAAACCACTATACAAAGCCCAAGCAAAAGTCTCTGTTATGTAACTAATGCCCATCTGCAATGATAAGGAGGAGACAGTCTTAGATAAAGGAGGCTTGAAAACAAAAGCAGAATCAGAGGACTAGGGCAAAGAGCTAATTTAAATATTAAAAATCACACCCCTAGGTGGGGAGAAAGTATGCTAATGAAACATACATGTATGGAAATGAGATACATAGCTAAAACACAGGTATAGAAACATGCTCAGTAAAAAACTCCTTGCGTCACTCCCTTATAACCAATTAGCAAACAAGAATGCTTATGAAGGTCCAATACTCCTGTATAAAAGATGCTTAGAATTAAGAATCTGTGTGCTTGTTACGTGAAATTATTCCGCTTGCACCTTGTATTGCTAGCAATAAATCTTCTTTATACTTTCACCCCTGGTATCTTTATTGGCTTTTGCATACCGGGCACGATCCCAGACTTGAGCTGGGGCTCAACAGTTTTTGGCACCCCAGATGGGACTGCCTTAGATAGCTTTGCCCGGACTAACTGACGACCAGACACAGCTCCTCCTTATCAAATGTCAGGCGCGCCCCGGGATCTCTTTTCCTGGTGAGACTTTTGTTTCAGGGGGAGCTGGATCGCTGAGGCGGCAGTAGCCTAACGGTG